CTTGCTGAAAACTTGATAAGAGTGTATTTGGCCCTTACACGCCAAGATGAGTATGGCCAAACTGATGTTCGGAACTACATTTAAGCAAAATGCTACGTCCTTTTGAGAGGATTAACACCTTTTTAGGTGTATCTTAAAGTGTCATGAAGTAGCATTAATTTGCTTGAATTTCTTAAAATCAGCTTCCAAAAACTGCAGTGCAAAGTCTTTTATTGTACTCGAGTTTTTTGATTTGTAGCCTAGTTCTACCTGGAGGAGAACCTCCTTTTTATGTGTAACCTTGGTAAGAAAAACAGAGCTCACTTTTTCTTTTATTTTCTCTCTTCTCTTTATTTCTTTTAATACCCACATCTGCAGACACTGTATGTCCGCATACTAAGCACAACACACAAGGGCGATGTGTCTCCAGCTTTCCCAATTATTTACCCATAGTTATTTATACTGTAAAGAAATCTGTATGGCTAAAGGGACGAAAGCCACATTATTGGCGGTACTAACATTTTGAAAGTAAAAAGGAAAGAAGCTATCTGGGCAGACTGCTGAGCAAGCGTTGTGAAAGTAGAAGACATAGCGGCACTAGTGAGGGTAGCAGAGCGTGCCTTTAGTCTCTTGGTCAGCCCAGGCTGAGAGCAGCGGTCTTGGTTTACCTCCCAGACAGCAAGATGGATTGCAGATCTGTTTACACAGGGAATATTGCAATATATTTCCTACATCCTAACACACTAGCGGATATGATATGAAAAAAATCTGAGGGCAGGATTGTTTTTTAGAGTTAGCAGTGGTGTTTCAAATAGCATGAGAAATGGTCTCTTTGGAAATATTTTTCATGTGTTTAGGTGAGTACGTGCATATTGAACATATTTCTAGTACATCCGAGAAAGGATGCAACAAGCAAAATAACTTTTTTCTTTGGAAATTCATCTTCTTTGTTTAGGATTTAGTCTAATCACTTCTTTTGCATGGTCAGACCAAATCTGTAGGTCTGTACAAGGCCCTGTTGGTTTAAGTAGGCTTAGATCAGCATAGATCGGATTCTTTGTCTCCAGTTTAGAAAGCTCTTCTGTAAAAAGGGAGCTCTTTAGTCTTAAAGGTCAAAGGCACTTAAAGCAGTGTTTAAGCCTGTCTGTATTCAGGAAAGAACTTAAGCACAGCTGTAATTCTAAAGCATGTGCAAAACGCCTGTTTTGATCAAGAAACTTAAGCATATGTGTAATGTTAAGCACATACGGTAGTGTTTTGTTGCTCTGTGGTTTCTAGAAGCCAGCTTGAATGTAGAAAAAAATTCCATCAGAAAGGAGCCCAGACAAATTAGGGTGACATGCCTGAGAGAGAAATTAAGGGGGTAAGGGAGTGTTAGGTGGCTAATGCGGATTTTTAATACTTTTTGGTGTTTTCATTCTGTTTGTTGACCAAGCCACATTTTTTCCAACTCACACAGCATTATTTCAGACAATAGCAAATAATTGCCTAACATAACAAAAAGAGAAAAATAGTAGAAGTGTTTGTACTATTTTTCTTTTGCAACTGGATGATGGTGATTTGATAAACCAATATTTTCCTTTCCTTACAATACCAAGGCTCTGTCTTGCAATTGGATCGACATAAGCATAAGCACTCAGAAATCTGCCTGTGGGTATTAGCTTGAAAGTCAAATAAACTTCATTGAATTCTTTGGCGGAGAATGTATGCCAGTTTAAAATGGCAAAATCCTTACCAGGCTGTGGGCTCTGTAAAACTTATATAATAATAACAGAGCTCAGCAGCGTCTGATATTGCTTGCCTTATGCTTCCAAAAACCCTATGTAAATCAAGAGGAGGTTTGTCTATATGGAGGTAGGCTGGAGAATAATTGTAACCGAAACCTGCTTGTGAATGAATTTATCAGATCCCATCCACTGGAGAGCTGGAACTGATACTTCAAGCCTCTCAATATATTTGAGAAAAAGACCGGAATATCTTGGCCTTAACTGGAGTGGAAGTCACCCAACTGAAACATTATACAATGCTTTGAAATTTCAAGAAAAAGGTTCTAATCTTTTGGCTGTCTTGCTCATTGTTTGGAGATGAAAAGGGAGGAAATCAACATCCCCATGAAATACAATTACTGTAAATTGCTTTCTTTTCATACTGTTCGTAATGAAAATAGCAAAGTTACCAGAAGTTACCTACCCTGCAGAAGCACAGTATTTCGGTGGATGTAGACTGCAAGAAGACATTCAGCAGTGCAACACCGGATTTCTATATGAACCAACTACCGGAGAGTATAAGCTATTGCATGGCAGTGGTGACTCTGGGTTGCTCTGAAGTGACCAGGAGTCCTCTTTGCAGTGGAAGAAACCAGAGCTCCTTAAAGTGAACTATAAAATTAAGCTAAACTTGTATAGGGTGTCTGCTCTCCCCTTCCCATTCTCTCCATTGGGATCTGGACTCAGCTGGAGGCTTGCTCAGCCTCTCAGGCTGGCTGAGGAGGCCCTGAGGCTTGTGAGGCAGCTGGAGACGAGCTGGGATACAGCCCCAACTGGGAGACACACCGCTAAGCTTGAAACAGGGACTCGCTGGGGGCAGCTCTACCAGATCCTGATTGCACTGATCCTGTGTCACTCCATTGCATTCAGGGATTTCCAGCTCTGTGGTCCCCATGGGGCACCTGGAAACAAGGATTTCCCAGGACCTAATGGGTGGCAGAGCCATTCTCATTAGCAAGGGTGGGTGGATGAGCCTTTCCTCTGCCCAGCATTGCATTAGGTGGAGCAGTGCCTGCAGGATGAATGTGTAAGGGCCAAGCAGACAGCACCTCATGTCCTCTAGGTGCATCTCTGGGGAAGTGCATGACTGTGTGTCACCTTCTTCAGGTCAGGAAAGGAGGGGAAGAGTGAACTGGAAGAGTGAACTGGGACTCACCGCTGTCGTCGTGTACCATTCGGAAAAAATGCATACCAAACGTCAGCAGTCATCACCAGTTACAAGGCAACGGTCTGATTTCCTTTTCTTTTCCTAGGGAGCAAGAGAAGGTGGCGTTGGGAGAGGGTGAGGTCATCTGCCTCCACTAAATAACACTATGACAAGCCATCGCTATTTCTTGTTCTTTTTTATCATACCAGAGTCCTTGGTCAGAGGGCAGGACCTTATTACAGTGGGAATTATCTACTCAGTGGTGCAGTGCTTCAAGCAACCTGTCCATCGTTTTATGCTGTTGTAGGAAGCGTCGAGAAATCATAAACCATTTATAGTAGGACCAGCTTTTAAAAACCACAAGGTTATTAAAAAATCAATACATTCTGACTTCTTCTAATTTTTCCTTTAATTTTTGATGGTCCTGTTTTCAAGCTTTTTTCTTCTAGCTGAAAGCTCAGAATCTTTTGACACCAGGAACTATGTCTTTTACAAAAACACAAAAAGTTGCGAGAATCGTAAGAGCAAGAGGGTTGTGCCAGCACTGCATCCTGAGTGGTTCTTCACATGTGAACTTTTACACTGGCTGGTACTGTGGAAACACTTTGCCCTTCTAATTTTTTTTTAGTTCAGCACTCCTAAGCAAGCGTCTGGGACAGGGACAGTACTTTGTTTGCACAGCTGGTAGTTTTGGGGTGCCCTGTGACTGCCAAGTGCTACAAAAGGAAAAATAAAAATATAACACTGAATAAAAAATTGCTATCATAATCCAACTGGAAAGGGAATCACCAGTGAAACGATCTCATTTTCCTGCATGGATAGAGCTGTGGAGTAAAGGAAGAGAGCGGAAAATTTAAGACTGTTTATGGCATTCAGGCACTTGCTTTTGAAACGTATGTCTTTTTGTGACTTCCTTCCCTCAGTAAGAAAGAGGGATCAAAAAGAAATTATTGTCTCCAGTCTACTTGCTTCTTCTCTAAGAAAAAAAAAAAAAGTCCTAAATCAGATGGGCTAGAAATTGTCAATAGCTCAAGAATCCAGGAATGAGGTTAATGGACAAATATAGATGTGGTGTAAGCGGGGCTAGACTTCATTAACATATTTGGAGTTACACCCGCTTATACCAAGTCTGGCTTTGGCCCTGAATCAGTAATTCCCCAGTGAACAGACTGCATGAAACTAGTGCCGAATTTGGCCCATTTCATCTGACATCTGCATCCTGCCTCAAAGTGGCATGTCACACTTACTGCACATCAGATCACACCTGCCCAGGCAGTCACAGGCAATTGACTTTTTTGTCAAAAAAAAAAAAAAAATTAAAAAAATTTAGTCATATATCATCAAGAAAAACAACATTGTTTTAGGACTCTTATCTCTTCACTCCCAAATATCCTGTTTCTTCGAGCAGCAGTGGCCAGGACCAATAGAAACCTCTTCCTGCCATTGGCTGACTTCATTTCCCAGAGTTAGCACAATCTCATCCGCTCTAAACAACCTCATCAAAACTTCTTTCTGGTCAGAGCGAAGCAATAATTATTATTAGCAATTATTAGCGATCAATAATCTTGATCACATTATGGCAAGCACTATTAAGGTAAGAAAGGGGTACCTTTTTTGTTGGAATTTTTTTCAGTGGTGTGTTCTTTGGTTTCCTTTATCAACCTAGATAAGTTAGAATTGGGCAACACCCCCACTGCCACAATAGAGGACAACAAGATTTCCTTTGTACTGCCTAGTAAATTTCCTTTTTCCTACTCCAACCATCCGCAAGGCTTAAAAACTTCAAACTCGGAAAAAAAATTGGGTTTTTTAAATTCACTGTTCAGTGCTGTGGATTGCATATGCGAAGCCCTTTTATGAGAGCTTCTGAAATTTCTTGTAGGTATCATTCTGACAACTTGGATGTGTTTGCGGACTGCCATGAGGGGAGAGGGTGTGCACTGGAAGGAAAAAAAGGGTTCCTAAGAGCACTAACCTTTTGGATACTTTTAAATGTTTCTCTTGTTGATGGGGCACAAATATTAGCAAATGGGAGTGAGAGGCATCAGCTCTTGTTTCTCTCTCATGCAGGTGTTAATTATGTGCTTTTCTAGAAATGCTATCCTGATACTCGCGACCTTTCGGAATGTTATTTTAATGGTGGTGGCAAGATTTCATGGGTGTGTTCTTTTTGTTTTAATTTTTTGGACAATAAAATCCTCTTATTGGCTTATAAATTGATCTCGATGCATGGTTTGTTTCTTTTTTAAGAATGCTTTGATGAGTTTTTCAGGTTGTGTCACTTAGAAAGTTGAATAAATCTATATGACTATCTAATTTTTGCTTCTCTGTATGTTGCAATAGATAGCAGTTACAGATATAGCAATAGCTGTGATTAATTGCAGAAGTATAACTGTAGCTAAAAGCTTTGTGATAGTGAAACTAATTTTACGTAAAGAGCAAAACAGCATCTACAGTGAGGACTCTGCGGCGTTGTGTTATCAGATTTTGGATCAAGGTATTTGTTTTCTTCGTGGTATTGTGTGTTTCTGTACTTTTCTAATTATGCCAGAGATTTAGTAAGAGATATGGAATAGCAGCGGTGCCTGGCCATTAGCTAAGCGGAGCTGCAGATTGATTTCTCAGCAACTTCTGCTTAGATGTCTACATTTTAAAGATCATTTTATGCTTTTCGTTATAGTTTTTGAAATCTGAAAGTCTAGCCTGAAGACAATGTGATTAAAAAACCTAATGAACCTTCTCTTTCTGCAATCACTGATGCTTTCAAGGGGCTATTTATGGAGACAAAGATCCGAATCTCCTCTGCATTGCTGGCCAGTATCTATTATATGCTAAGTAGCTCCTGAAACAGCTGAATCCCTTTGGTTTTGCCGCGCACTTCAGAGCACACAGGGCACGACAGGCGCTCTATGAGAATCTTGAGGTTCAGGGAGTCAAGTTTCGCGTTGCTAAAAGCAGGGCTATGTGCTGAGATAGTAACGCTGGGTTTTGCGTCTATTAATCAGAACGCACTATTGATGATGATGGGAAAATGTTTTTCAAAAATGATGGTACAATGAGATTAGATGTTGTATGCATTTTGCGGAGCTCTTATTATTTATTTTTTGATGTTTTGTGTTGGCTGAATTGTAATAGGGTAAATGATTGTAAACAATATCTCATCATTATTATTTGAGCTCCACCTTACACTTACAGAGGTGAGCAGAGACTGTGTGCAGCTGTGTATTATGCAGCCCATTAACGCAATGCAGACAGCAAAGCCTCCTGAGTGGAAAAACCTACATTTTTGCCTCCTTCTCCAGGAGAGTGAAACTTGCAGGGGGAGATAGGCATCCCAAAATGTTGAGGATTTTGGTGCCTGGGGTGCTGGGAAGGCCTTATATGTTGAAGCAAGGATTTTATTTATTTATGCAAGTGCAAAATGTAAAATGACCAAAAAGAAATGACAGGTGCTTTGTAATGTAGATGCAGGAAACGTACTGTGACATGAAGCTAAGCTACTCCAAAGAGATTCAATTCCTCTTCTATACTGAGTACATAAAGAAGTCATTTAACTGAGAGGTTTCCATTTGAACACCAAATAGGTGTTTGTGCTTTTGCTAAACCGTTATGCTTTGCAATTTTTTTTTTACAATTTCAATATAATGACCTGTGTTGTCTGCTGGCAGTGGGTAGCCCAGCTATCCCAGCATAAGTGACAAGAGGCTGTGGCCAAGGAAGGTGGGAAGCTTTATCTGGGAACTCTGTGCCAGGATTTCACTCTCTTCTTTAGGGAAGCTGTGGAGTCATTTAATGTCAAAATTGGGTTGTGAATGGCTATTTTTTTGTTCATAACTGGACAGAAATTGTTCTAAATAGATACACCTGTAAAGGTAGCCTTCCAGTAAGACTGTTTGATTCATCCTTTTCCTATCAGAAACCTGCAGGCAGAGCCATGGGACACTCGGGGCTCATGAGAAAACAGGCTAGCTTAACTGGGGCTAATTGGTACCTATGAAGGCAAGCATTTGTGTATGTTTTCTGGCACTGGGGTTGACATCATGAGTGTGGCTTTACCAGGAGATAAGTCTTTTCTTGTCCCCTGCCCTCCTCCTGCTGCCACCTTCCCCTTCTCCCCTATGATGGGGAACGTGCTGTGGTGGACAGTTTCTCCTGAGAAGGAGGACTTAGCAGTGCCTTCATCCTAGGCTACAGCATGGATGGCTTACTTTAATTCTGACCTTTACGCTGTAAGAGTGGCCACCCTCGCTCAGGCTGGAGACCTCTCCCTCTGACCGGGAATGGGGCCAGCTCCTGTGGAGGGCAGCGTAAGAAACTGTGGAGAGAAAAGTGGTGGGATTTTGGTTTCGGTCTGCTGTCAGGGGGCTGAAACTTCTAATGCATTCGCTTCTCTATACCTGGTGAGCACACAGCTAACCTCACTATTATGGGTTTTGGCATTTGAAGGTTTAAATGTTTTTTTTCAAGTTTTTTTTCAACAGTCAAGATTTTAGCAATAAGGTTACGTGTTTCCTTCTGACACAAGTAGTACCTGACAGATAGGTGCAGTAGCACAACAGTGCAGAGCACTGAAGCTGAAGACTATCAAATCAATACAGCACTGCTAATTATAGGTGTCCCACTAGTTACTGTAAATACAATTTGAGAAAATATCAAATTAGGCATCTGTCTTTTTTGGTGTTTTTTTTTTTTTTTTTTTTTTTTTTTAAATAGAATGGAGCAAAAATTATTTAAGTGTTACCTTGGGATGAAGTAAAAATACTCATCCTGAAGGTCATTTTGGGTTTTTTTGCATTATCATATAGCGGAGGAAAGAACATTAATTAGAAAATTACAATGGGAATTCTACTTCCTTGTGATATTTCTCTCCCCGCCTGCCAATGCAATTGTACTTATTCCTAGAAAAGCTCTTCAGTAAGTTATCTTGACTTTACAGTGATTTATTGATTACACTTGTGGATATTTCTTTTACTCTAGTTTACTTCTAAATATGCATGTCTGCTTTTTTATTGTTGACTGCTAATGTGCTGTTCACGTGGAAGCTATGATTTCTGAGAGAAAAAAGTCTGTGTATTTGATAAAGGACAGGAGAATCTGTGGTTTCTAAGGCTTGAAACAGCATGGATATACTGATTAAAGCAATATATAGTAAGTGGGGGTTTTTTGATGAGGAATCTTAGTCTGTGCTTCTCTCTATGGTATTACTTTTCTCTCACTTTCTTTTAGAAAATCTAAGTACTCAAATATTTCTAAATCCAAGAAAAGCTGGAGACAGTTAAAACCTGTTCTTGGCATATGGAAATGTTTAAGTCTTTGTTTAGAGGCCTGCATCTGCACTGAATCCAACAGAACTAATACAGTAATTTGTATTTCTGTTCTTTGCATTAAAAATTATAAAGATTATTCTCTTTTTGTTGTCATCTCAGTTAGCAAATGATCCAATGGTATGTTTAACTCTAAGCCTGTAAATACTTCCATTGACTCTGGTGGTATGACACAACCTTCTCAAAGCTAAGCACACACCTGAGTGCTCTGGTGAATTGGAAGCAAGAACAGCAAGAGTGCCTTAAATCACTTAGCCTGATCTTGCACTCCTTAATTCAAAGTTTCCACCAATTTCATGAAGATTTTGTTCCAATAAAGGCAGTTGAATCAGACCTATAATTATTTCCAGGTAAAACAGTATTTCTAGCTCAAATACAAATGCACAATTTCCAGGAAGAAATAGTCATATAAGAACAGAAGAAGATATTTGGGGCATTTTTGTATTGTTTTCTTTTGCTTTTATTCAGTGGTCATTTAGCTCAATCTGGTTTGTGGCTACATGTGCCAAAACTAAGTCAAATATAAGGATTTCGCTTTACAGAATTAAGTTCCCAGGCACGGAACAACAGCTGGAAAATGCATATGTTTGACTATCTGAGTTTGTTTGTTTGTTTGTTTCTTAACCAGAAGTATATTATCTCATAACAAAATGTTTTTCAGCAAGTTCTGTGAGTTACAAAAGGCCTTTCAGAAATAATGTTCAAGGAATCAAATGCTCTTGGAGAATGACTTGCTGAAAGATAAATACAGGAGTAGTTTTGAGAAATGTGAATGCCAAATGAAGATATTAATTTTCCAAGTGACAGTTTATAATCCAGTAAAAACATGAAATGGTGTTGACTCAAAAAGAAGTAGGCTTTGTAATGCAAGTTTCTAAATCAAGTCAACAGAATTATTTTGAAAATCAGCAAAGTGGAGAAAAGAAAAAGAAAAATTGGGTTTTTATCACCCGTATTACCAATTTTAACAAAGTAAAAAATGATACAGTAGAAAATATCACATGCAGTACCAAACCGTGTCAAATTAACAAAAATCTTTTCATTGACTGCAATGTGGTTTCTATTAGATTCATCATTAACCATTTAAAAATTAATTTCTTTTGGTAAATAATTATACAGAAGAGAAATACTAGCAGCTTTTCACATTGTCAGTAATGAAAAGCCAATGGTCTGTCAAAATGACAGGAGTTCTGCTAGTCATCCTGCTGTCCTTAGTGCATATTTGTGTATTATAGAAGAAATGTTGACTGTGTTCAAAGCACCAACGTTG